CCAAGCAACAAACGCAGTACTCAATGGCTTTTTCAGCCCCAATTCGAAACACTTCCACAGTCCTCCCCAAAATAACTGGGTCAGGTCTGCCATGGCAATACCCCACTTCCCGTATCAATTTCTGCCCTAGTTTGTCTCTTCATTGCTGTGACAAAACAGTCTGACCACTACTAACTTGAGGAGAAAGGGTTTATTCAGTTTGCATCTCTCAGGTCGCAGTTTATCACGATCCCAATGTAGGAACTCAGGCAAGAACCTGGAGGCAGGAGCTGGAGCACAGGCCATGGAGGATCGCTGCTTACTGGCTTGCTTCCCTGACCCTTGCTCAGCCTGCTTTCTTACGCAACACAGGCCCACCTGCCCAGCGGTGTCACCATCCACAGTGGGCTGGGCCCTCCCACATCACACAACAATCAAGAAGGTGCCCCATGGACATGGCCACAGGCCAGTCCAATGAAGGAAATTCCCCAATTGAGGCTCCCTCAACCCAGGTGTGTCGTTGACACTAAAGCTATCCAGCACAATCATTTAGCAAAACAATAATAGTAGATTACCCCCTAGGGTATATGACCTTCTCAGTCATGAACTTTTGGCCAGGTTTACAAGACATGAAATTCTTCCTGTGGAGCAGGCCCCCTATCCAATCAGAAAGCTGCTGGTTATTCCCTGTATTAGTCAGGGTTCTCCAAAGAAACAGAACCCATAGAATGAATATGTATAGAGATTTATCAGCTTAGCTCACAGGATGGAGTCCAAGTAGCCCAACTATGGCTGCACCACACTGGAGAGGCTGAGAATCCATAGTCGCTTAGTCCACAAGGCTGGATGTCTCAGTAGTCCCAATCTGGTGCTGAAGGTCTGACAAATTCCAAAAGATCAGCTAGTCTTCAGTCTACAGCAGCAAGACGAACTCACCAGCGAGAGAGAAGGGAAGCAGCAAAAAGCCTGGCGTTCTGCTCTGCCTTGGTCTTTAATACCGGCTGCCATCAGAAGGTAACACCCACATTTAGGGTGTTTCTTCCAGCTTTAGATGATCCAATCAAGAAGATCTCTTTCATTTCAGTTAATCCCAGATCCAATCAAGTTGACACCCAGGATTAGCCATCACATCCCCTATAACTATCATGCTATTGTTGTACCTGTGAGCAATACCAGGTCAGTAGTGAAGCATGCAGGGTTCATCACTAGGTGAGACCATCGATGCCTTTTCTCCCGCAGGAGCCTACATAGCACCTTCTAGCACTATGTAAGCTAGCCATCAGGGAGATAGATTCCTGCCCAGTTCAAGGTTAATTTCCCTACGTCCTACATCCAAAGAGTTGTGTCATTAGCAACAGGATCTTGCCATCTAGTTATGGTGAACAACCAAGAGCAGTGGCAATAGCCTGTGTTATTTGGGGGCCTTTGAGGTCTCCCTGACTAAGAACTTATGGGAGGTATTCTGGACCTGGCACTGAGATTTTCATTTAATAATCAGTGTCTTCTGGGAGCAGCGTGCCCATCTATGAAGCGTTCAAATTTCTTTTTTATTCTCATTCATTCTCTCTCTCTCTCTCTTTCCACGTAATAGTATGTGTGGAGGTCAGAGGGCAGTTTGTAGAAGTCAGTTCTCTCAATCCACCATGTGAGTTCCAGGATTGAACTCAGGTCCTCAGACTTGGTGGAAAATGCTTTTACCCTCTCAGCCATGTTGCTGGCTCCTCTTTCTTTTGTTTATGTTTTTGTTTGGTTGGTTATTGAATTTTTGTGGATTTCATATAATATATTTTGATTCCCTATTTGCACCCTCTTATAGCTCCTCTACTTCACTGGATTTAATGTGCTGTGTCATATACATTAAAGCCTATTGAGTCAAATTTGTGTTCCCAGATATCCTTCAGTGTGCATCCATCCATTGGAGCCTGGTTAGCTTATCTAGCATCACTCCCTTAAAGAAAGGCAACTCTCCTTGTCCCAGTAGTCATGAGCTGTCAGTAGTTCCTCAGCTAAGGTTCTTACCCATTTCCCACTTCTATGTTGGGATTTTGTCTGACTTGAGCTTGCATGGGTCTTGTACATGCAGTTATTGTTGCTGTGAGTTCAAATGAGTAACTTCCCAGCTGTTTGGAAAACTGTTTCCTTGTGGTCATCCTCCACCTCTGGCTCTTAGAATCATTCTACTCACTCCTCTGCAATTCTGTTACTTCATCTCCAAACTAGTCTTCACTCCATGTATTCCTTATCTCTTTCTGCATGATCTAATCCACTCGCATGACTGCAGCTATAAAACTGCCTCATGTTCCTTCCATTCCATGTACACCCTGGATAACACTTCTTGGATAAGCATGCAAACTAGACTCGTGAGTCTTCTCTTATCTCCATTCTCTCAAACCCTTGCCTCTTTTAGTTTGACCCAGTTCCATGAAGGATGTCTATTAGTAAATATGCTTTTTTTTTCTGCTTCCATACATCAAACCTTAAACTTGAGAAACCTTAAACTTCTCAAAGCCCATTTTGATCTTTCTTGCTTCTTCTTGCTTTTCTTTCTAGGCAAAATGCCTTCCTTCTTGCTTATGAAGACCTGCTCTACTTTCAAAATTGACAAGAGGCATGACCTCTTCTATGGAGGTTTTCCACAGAGACAATACTTGTTTGCTCAATTTTATGTCTGTTCTGTACAGTCAGTTTGCTGTCAAAACATGGAGTATACACTACATGTACCTTTTGCTTTGCCTTCCTCCTTCTCTTTAAACTTTCTGAAGTCAGGTATTTTCAGTGTTTATTCTATGGCTTGTATCTGTCAGTGAGTTAAATAGTCAGGAACTATTTTCATGCATTTCTTCAATTGTTTTGATTATGGCCAGTGAGAAATTCTGGAGGTGAGATACCTGTGACAGTGGTGATGAGTGAAACTTTTTTTCTATCAGCTCTCTACCCTTCCTGTTCTGAAGAATTTGATATTTTGTACATTTAATAGACTCTCTAAAGGAAATTAGTTTCTGCCTATTTCTTCCTACTCTTTAAAGGAAGAAGACAATTGCTTAGATAAAACAAAGAACACACTGGCAACATTTAGCCTATGGTTCTGTGAAGTGTGAACTATGCCCAGACACTGTTCTTTCCCTAAGGACTTCATTTATAAAGAAGATGATGTTTGTAAGTTTATGTCATCAACCCAATCTTAAGATGACTTGTTTAGGGGTTGGGGATTTAGCTCAGTGGTAGAGCGCTTGCCTACTAAGTGCAAGGCCTTGGGTTCAGTCCTCAGCTCCCCCCCCCCCGCCAAAAAAAGACAAAATAACAAAAAAAAGACCAAAAAAAGATGACTTGTTTATATTTTTAGTAATTAGATAATGTTTAAATTTGTGTACTGTAATATTAGACATTTTTCTTACTCCAAACTTTAGCTTTCATTAATTGTTCAATAAAACTTGACTTTGTTTAATCTCCTGCCATATGAAGTACCTTTCAATACTGCCGAGAGTTATCTGCTTTTTATTTCTCCATACCTCAATTCAGTATTTATCATCACTTAGTACTACTGTTACATAGCTTTAGGATTTGTTCTGTCTCCTTATAAAGTAGGTATAAACTCTAAAATCTTGGTTTCTGCTGCTGTGTTTTTATATTCCCTAATCTCTGATCTTTATTTTGGTTTGAATTTCCTGCCTAGAGCTCAGACTTTTTACTCAATTTCCTCCCTGTATTTAAAAAAACCTCTGTTTATAGCTTCACAGTACATGTACATGACAACCACCTGCTTCAGAGTTTACCTATCTACTCTCACAGCCAGTTTGGTACTGTGGCCTGATTCTAGATCCTTGTTTTTCTTACATTTTTTGCCTAGATTTTTTTTTTACCCAGTTTTCCTTCTCAGATTACAAACCTGCTGCCTGTAGCAACATGGTACATCATATGACAGCTACCTCTTTCGGGCTTGTCTCATAGTCCTGCTACTTTCTGTTTTCATTTTCTCATACTTCATTTTCTTTCAATCCTTAACCAGTTTTTGGAGTTGTTCAGAAGTATTGCTTACTCCCCCTGATGGACCCTGAGCTCTTTTCTTCTTGCTTTATTCCTCCTCTGACAACTTTTTGGATTCAATCAAGCCTTGCTTGTCTTCCTGTATCTTGCTTGTAATTAGAGAAGTTGTGCCAATCTGCACTGGTATTTATTATGGCCATAGTCTATCTTTTAGGAAAAATATTCTTTTTTTTTTTTTTTTTTTGGTCTTTTTGAGACAGGGTCTCCCTGTAGCCCCAGCTGTCCTAGAACTCACTGTGTAGACCAGGCTGGCCGGCTGGCCTTGAACTCACAGAGATCCGCCTGCCTCTGCCTCCCGAGTGCTGGGATTAAAGGAATGTGCCACCACACTCAGCATAGGAAAAATATTCTTATATTCAACTTATTTAATTATGTTAATCATTTTTCATTTATGATAATCCCATTGTGAAACAGATCACTAATCAAAGACACTTTTTAAAAGTAACAAAATGTAGCTGGGTGTAGTGACTTACACCTTTAATCCCAGTACTGAGCAGGCAGAGGCAGGTGAATCTCTATGAGATTGAGGCCAGCCTGGTCTGCATAGCCAGTTCCAAGCTAGCTGGTGCTACAGGGAGACCCTGTCTCAAAAAACAAAACCAAATGTTTCCTTAGTGGTGTCTTTGGCATTCAGGGTTTTTGCATAAGATGAAAAGTGGCCTCTAGTCTTAGAAACTAGAGCAACAAGTGCTGTATTTCTACTATTATATGATCTCACAATTCTCATCATCTCATAAAGAGAGAAGACAAATTCAACCCAATGTGAAGGATTAGGACAGAACTCAACAAAAGAGTCACATGCCCATTTCTGATTAGGCTATTGTAGTAATTTAGCAAAAATGAAGGGTAGCTTAGACTAGTGTGATGGTAGCAGTCATCTGAAAAATGTCTGAATTTGAGATAGATTTTGAGGATAGAGGAAACCGTCCATGAAAATATGCAAATCATACCTATGCTCTACTTTCTTCTCTTTCTAGTTTCGCTATGCAGATTGGCTCGACAAGTTGTATATGCTGATAGGAACTTTGGCTGCCATTATCCATGGAATTGCACTCCCGCTTATGATGCTGGTGTTTGGAGATATGACAGATAGCTTTGCAAATGTAGGAAATTTTCCAGAAAACACAACTATTGCAAGTAAGTATTGTTTGTGGTACTGATTTTGGTGGGAACTTGCAAAAATCACTCACCTAAAGTAATATTTGTGGGGCCTTACTAAATATTCACTACTGTGTTTAATGGTCTAGGAAGTGGAGGACATGAACTTCAGCTTTTGTTTGTAATGAGTTTCAGTAGATAATACAAGCATTAGAGTACCTAGTGCAAGTGCTGGCAGAGATGTGTAGAAATAGAGAGATTTCAGAAAGCTTCATGAAGATGTATAGGCATCTAACCAGGACCTTGAATGATAAGCTGGAATTGCTGTGAAGTCTGTGGCAGATTGACTATGGGTGTACAAGAGGGATCCAGGATGTTTCTAAAGATTTTAGTATGAGGAACTGGAAGGATGTAGTTACTTTCAACTGAGATGAGAAGGTAGAAGTCAGTAGATTTTAGCAGTAGTAAATGCCAGCAATTGCATTTTATACATTGCCATAGCTTAAGTTTTCAGAAAGAAGATGTAGGAATGGAGAAATGGGGGCCAAGAAAAGTTGTGAGTGGGTTGTGTATGTGTGTGTGTGTATGTGTGTGTGTCTTGTATTGAGAAATTGTATCTTGCTTATATTGTTATGGAAATAATCCCCAAAAGAGAAGAAAGTAAAAGGTATGTTTAAAGAGATTTGCTGGAGAGATCCTAGAGAAAGGATAAGAGCCAACGCTCAGGAGGAAATGTTACCTTAAGATTAGAGCAATAGCAGTTCATCCACAGTAATGGGAAAGGATAGAGAATATTGAGTGTTGGAGTCCAAAAGTGGATACACGAGGAAGTAAGAATCTGTGAAAGTTTTCATCTGATGCTAGGAGATCCTTTCATTTGTCTGGGACGTGTTCTAGTGGATAGTACATCCCGTGGATAGAACAGAACTTTGTTTATATTATGTCTGTGATAAAGTTTAATTACAAATTAATCACTGTAAGAGATTAATGATGATAACAAAATATGTATAACATGCTACACTAAAAGCTATGTGAATGTGGTCTCCCTTTTCAAAATATCCTCCTCTGCTGTTCTCTCTCCTATCTCATGATAATGTGAGGCAAAAAGTCTCCTGGTTGAATGCAGGAAATGAAAACCACAGAATGTCTAAATTTGGGTAAGGAGAGACTATTGCACTTCAATTTTCTTGAGCTTGAAAGCAAGGTATTTGGTTAATATAAAAATGAGATGGGAGCAGGAAAGTGAATAGACTATTGAAAAAGTTTGTGTTTAACACATACTTGATTGGGGAAAGAAAGATTGATAGCTCTGAGCGTCAATCTTTAGTTCACCTCAGTCAAGCAGAAATTGAATTAAACTAAATTAAATTGCTCAAAGACTTACAGTTCAATTTGCACTCAGACAGAAAAAAATGCTAGAAAGGGGTTGAGGCTATAGCTCAGTGGTGGAGTGTGTGCCTGTCCTGTGTGAAGTTCACTTCCTAGTACTGCCATAAAAAAATATACCTCGAAAATATATTGACACTTCTTGGTTTACAATAACCATTCAATATTTGAAGTTTTTATTTGGTGCTAGAGATTAAGCCCAGGGCCTTGCACATCAACATTTGAATTTTAAGTCTCTGATGCCTACCACAGATCCTTTTCCTCAGAAATGGTCATATAAATGTTAACAGGGACATTAATGGAACATTTGGACTTGCTGGGAACCACTTCTTTGTGGTCCTAAATAATACATAGTTTACATGAAGTAGGGCTTACCTGAGGGCTATTGCCAGAGAAATGTGGGGGCCTAAAACTTCAGGCTCATGTGAGGGAACCATAGCTCCAGCTCACAGGAGGGGACCACTGCTATCTGTGTTTCCATTCTTGCCCACTTTTGTCTAGTTCTCCACATATTGTCAGACTGATTTTTTAAAAACATAAAACTTACCAGGAGTGGTGATGCACACCTTTGATCCCAGCACTCAGGAGGCAGAGCCTGGCAGATCTCTGTGATATTGAGGCCAGCCTGATCCATGCAGAGTTTTAGGCTCACTGAAGCTACAGGAAGACCCTGGCTCCACTCCCCTCTCCAATAACTCAGTTTACTTAATGTCCCATTGGTTTCTCATAACATGTAATAAATGCAAATTGTATTCAAGGACTCATGCAGCATATATGATCTGTCCCCCACCTCCTCATTAGACTTATTGCTCATTCCCTACTCATTCTAGCTCACATAATGAACTTCCTTCTGTTTTTGGAAACTTCAGATCTCCTTCCTGACTTGGGATGATTCAGATCCAGCCTGTATGTCCATAATGTATCCTGCTTAGTACCCAGTTCCCACTTCAGAAGAGCTTTTGTCTCCAGTCCACCCCAACGTCACTATAATATCATTACTTTGTTTACTTACTGAGTTATTACCCTAGAATTATCTTTTTAATTTGTTGTTTTACTTGTTTATTATAGCTTGTTTTGTGGGAAAAAAAATCATAGGGATAAAAAGGAAGTTTGTGGAAAAACTTTGCTAGAAATTTCTGCACTATCATCCTGTCTCATGAGATTTGAGGCTTAAAGGTGAAAGGATTTCCTGTTGGAACAGAAACTCAGTAGGATTAGAAAAAGTGGCCCCCATTCTAGGTAGTACCCTGAGTGTCTAGAACAGTGCCTGGAAATAAGGTCCTATGGAAAGTGATTGAAAAATACCCTTCTTATTTATAAAGAGATTTTTCTCCCCTGAAATTATTTCTGGAATGGCAAAATTGTTTCCATCATTTAAATTGAAGTTGTTAATTGAAAGAAAAGAAAAACACTTTTTTAATAAAAGGTCAGTTTACCAGTGAGAAAATCACCAATGTATTCATACCACATATTTCTTCCTTATATGTTTCTTTAGTGATCAGCCACTGAAATGTCTAAATATTCTGAGGTATTTGTGTTAGCTGAAATAAAAGATAATACAACCCTAGAAGATATTGAGTGTTTAGTCATGCTACAGGCACAGTGTAGTTTCCTGAACATCTTATTTGGTTTTAGAAAAGGCCTTCCTTGGGGAGAGATGGCACAGTGGTTAAATTCACTGACTGCTCTTGCAGAGGACCTGGGTTCGATTCCCAGCACCCACATGGCAGCTATGAACCATCCTTAACTCCAGTTCCAGGGGAATCTGAAGCCCTCTTCTGACCTCTGCGGCATTGCACGATACGGGTGCACTCCATGGTGCAGGCAATACACTCATACACATAAAATAAAAATAATAAATAAAATATTTTTTAAAAAAGAAAAGGCCTTCCTCACTACGTAGAATGATGGACTATATCCATTTTTAACCTTATGTGGGATACAGACTGCTGCAAGAATGCTTGGATGGACTGTTTTGATAAATGGTTGAGCATACGTTATGGCTTTATGAGATTATTGTTCACTTTGAGAAGGCTGGTCTTTAATACCACTAGCTGAGCTTGAGGGACACAAGGAGAAAATGTAGTCCAGTTTTTCTCAGCTGACATCAGTGGAAATGAGAGCAGACCAATGTAAGCAATCCTACTTCTATTTCAGCACTAACTTAGTAATATTAACCATGCATCTATTGCTATGAAATTCTGGGACAAGTTGAGCCACCCTGCTAGGTTTAAGCCATTTGAGAAGAGCTTGTTTTTTGGTTTATTTGTAGAGGCAGAGTATTTTTGTAGAGAAAAACTTTAGTAAAGGGCATTACAGATAGAGGAAGGAAAACTGTCAGCTTCTCCTTGGCCTGGACCTAGCTGCTATCGGGAGACCGTTGGCACCGGCCCCCCGTCACGGAAAGTTGGGCTGAGGAGAGAGACCAATAGGGGGAGAGGGGCCTCAAGCAGGCTGTGGGGAGTATGATGGGAAGGAAACACCCGGGAGACTGTGTCAATGGACAGCTCGTTTATTATGGCAGAAGCAGAGGTTTATATAGGAAAGTTTCTCAGGCAAAGAGGTGGAGTTGGTTTTCTGGCAGGCCAGCAGGTAAGGGGAGGGAGGGGGCTTCTAAGGCTATGTGGCCTTTGTCCTATCATCTGGTTACATGATCTACAAGAGACCCGGTTAGGATTAAAGGATTAGGAACCTAATAGGTTTGTTTGGGGGGCTGTTTGGTAAGAGACACTGTGTCTACAATGGAGTGGGCCTGTTTCCTGCCATCCTCACTGGGAGGTCTCTGGCCTGGCCATGCTCTACATTCCAGGCACTCCTGACTTACCCAACAGAAAATGAATCAGGCACTGAAGAAAAAGGCAGAATTCTTAGGGAACAGCAAGCCCCCCAGTGTGCTAAAAAATGGGGTTCCATAGAATTGGAGAGAGCTGAGGATGGTGGGAATGAGTGAGTGAGTGCTGTGAGTTGAGGCTAGAATTGTATAGTGAATGTGATAGCTAAGAACCCAAGGATGCAAAATATGTAACTTATTTTATGCAACATAATTTCATTTTTGAGTCACTCTTCATCTAAAGTAGCAGTTGTTTAGGGTGGCTCAGTTGCTTCAGGGTGACCCTCATCTTCATGTCAGTGTCTGGAAGACCAACATCTCTGTACTGTAGACAGTTTTTTCCCTTGGTGCTAAGGGTTGAACCCAGGGCTTTTCACGTTAGGCAAGTTCTACCACTGACTTATACTTCAACCCCACCACACTGCTCCAGGCGACTGAAGGTTAAATGTTTTTTAGTGCTATCTACACAGAAATTGCCTCAAGTTTTCTTGTTTAACTCTCCTAGGAGTACTGGGGTCATTCAACACCTGTATCACTCTAGGTCCAAGGAGGCTCTGGGTGCTTTCTTGAGGATGTCTCCTCAATGGAGTACATAATCATTCCTCTTCTGAGGTCTCACTCTAGGGTGAGAATATCTGGAATATCTCCAGATACAGATTTGGAAATGGCAGACACTATAGAAATGACTATGGGCTCACTCAGTTCTCTTTCCTAGACTACCCAGTGTCTGTATGTCTTCAGTTCTCAGCTGTATCTCTCCTTTGAAGCATGCAGAAAATATTTTTAAGTCTTAAAAAATGAAATTTATCTCATGAATTTAAGCAGTATTTTGGCATGCTCAGATTCCTTATCAACCCTTGAGGACTAGACTTTGGGCACACAAAAGCCAAGAAGAATTGCTGTTTTGTCAAACATAGACTGTGGAAAGATTGCAAATCGATAAATAGGATGTTATGGGTCTCAGACTTTATTCTCTATGTAGAGTGAACTATCACTTAAGATTATAAATGAAATAGAAGCAATAGGATTATATAGTCATTTCCAAACATAAAGTCTGATGACAACCTGAATGACCTCATTGGAATAGAAAGAGCAGTTGGGAGTTAGAGTCAAAGTCAAGGTGAGGGGAAAACAGTGGATGTGCCTGCATGTACAAGCCCTCACAAGATTAAGAAAATCAAAATCCCAGCATGGCTAAGGGAGGGGCTCTTGAACTCCCACCCCTAGCTGAAGAGCTATAGGCAATTGATGACTGATGGGATGGGAGAGGCAGTAGGTTTTCTTTGGAGATGCGGCCTTTGAAAGACTACTCATTCTCTAGTATAGCCTATCATCTATGTGCATACAGGCAGCACTTACTGGACTCAGTGGGTTTAAAAAAAGAACACATGAAGTTGGAAGGGATAAGTGATCAGAGAGATAGGGAAGGAATTGGAGAAGAGTAAATAGGAGAATAGATTTGATCAAAACACATTATATGCATATATGGAATTCTCAAACAATAAAAACAAACAAAAAAGGTGTTGGGGGGAACTAGAGCATTAATCATGAGATAGGATGGGATTTGAATATCTCCACATACAGATTTGGGAGTGATAGAAGGTATAGAACTGGCTGTGGTAATCTTGACAATGTATATGAAATTCTGGGAAACACTAATGTATAGGGAAAAGGGACAGCACAAAGAATAGGTAAAGGAGACTGAGGCAGAGTGGTGGGAAAGCGTGGTGGATGAGGTTCTGGAAGACAGAAGGACAGGGAAGGAGTCAAGAGAGTCTGAGCACTTTACTGAAAGAAGGTAATCTAAATTTAGCTTTTCATCCTATTAATTTGATAGTGCTACTGTAACCTAGAGAATTTATGGCTTTTTTTCACTAGAAAAAATGAGATCAGTTTTAGGGTACTACTCAAGAATTGTTCATTGTTACTCTTTGTTTGGGCAAGAGTTATTGGACTACATGTTATCTAAGATCACCAGTTAGTTTTGATAAGGTGAAAATTTTTGTGAAGGCACAGAGAGGAAACATCTTTGAGTGTGAGAGCTTTGAATTAATAAAGGCTGATTAAAGGAAATAAATGTTGATTGGAGCAATCCTGTAGAATATAATACTTTCCTTTCTTTGATCAGCAGAGATTTTGTCCAATTTTATTCTGACTTGCACATTTTGACACCATTGAAAAACAATGAAAGGAACTCAGTAACAGAGCTGGTTTCTGATTAACGAAACTGTAACTGGTAGAGCTATAGACTAAACAAGAGCCAGTTTGTCCTTGAACTTTTCTTTTCAAATTGTATGAAAATGACTTAAGTCTTAGAAACCACCGTTGCCTAAGAATATTTATTTAAATTTTTTTGGTTCCTGGCAAAATTAAATGCTAGCATAGGGTAAGCATCTCTAAGTTAAAAACCTAAAAGTCTAAAATTGTTTGAGCATCAGGGCTCATTTTGGATATTGGATTTTGGACTTTTGGATTAGTGATTCTCTGCTAGTAAAGTATGTGCAAGAATTCTAGAATGAAAAATTATGAAAATGGAAATCTTTCTAGTCCCAAGCATTTCAGGTAAGGATTATTCAGCCTAGGATAACACCGAAGAGAAAACATATTTTGTTAGACTTGAAAAATTCATCTTGAATTGGCAGGGATGCACATTTGTGAAAAATAAACTATTTAGAAACATTTCCTGGCTAGATAGGATAATTGAAAATCCTCAATAAGAGATTTTCTAAAATAGATTTTTGAGAAAAATCCTCATCTAGTGATTCAATAGCCTGTCTTATTTTTTAAGAAGATAACACAAAACAAAACTTATTTAAATAAAAAATCATTCTTGAAATTTTATTGTTAGATTGACGTGGGAGAACAGTCAAGGATCACTCCTTCATGTGTTGTGACATCTCCCCATCTCTGAATTTTTCCTTTACTCTCTTACCTTTTAATATAGTTTTTCCCCCAAGACTCTGGGTCTGGCGTATTTTCTCTTTACTTGACATCCTGTTCTTACAGGTAAGAATATGGCCCTTTTCTTTCCTGAATTTAGTTACGGTCTCTTATCATAAGAATCCTTAATATTTATATCTGAGCTCTCTCCAGAACTGGAAGGTCACATTCTAAACACTCTCTAGACATCTTCAGTTATACATCACAGATGCTACAAAGTAAAAATGTTCAATATTGAACAATAATCTTCCTTAATTTTTCCAAACCACCTCTTTAGATTTCCTTCTATGAAACCACCATTTTCAAATGTTTTGGCTTAAGGTCTTGATAACTTTAATTTTAACTATTTATACCCCATCAATTGGTATGTATGTTCTATGGCTTCTTCCATTTTTGAATGTCATACTTTCCTCTTTCTCTTACCCTATTCAGACCTTCTTTCTCTATATTATTAAAATAGGTGAATCCCTTTAGTTTTTATTCTTTTTAATGTCATACATTGCTGAAAACAAAGTCTTCCTAGATCTTATTTTTAATTGTCTATTTTAGTTCAAAACTATTGAGTATCTGCTAGTGTGGTCTAGACTATCTTTATAACTATGTATCTTCCATAAATCCACACCACAAATTCCAATACCCCATCTAAATGGAGTCACTCATTCTTCAAATGTGCTACAGATGTTTGGATATATTGTTTAGTTTGCCAATGATGCTTTTCTTTCCATTTTCCATGTCTGTCAAAATCAGATTCATCTGAATGAGTCCCTCATATTGTAACCTTTTGCAATGATTGCAATGTTTAAAGTGTGCCTCCCTATTGATCCAACAGTATTGTGATAATTTATCCTATTAGTAGGATAATATATCCTAATAATGCACCCATGTTTAATGCATCATTTTTGCAACAGTAAAATGTCAAAGACATCAAAAATAGATGCAATCTTTAAAAATGACATTCATACTTACACTGATATTGAGATTCCATTTTCTTAAAAAGCTAAATTTGTACTTGTATTTCTTACATGTGAATATATAAACAAAAATATTGAATAGTAGTATTTCTGTTTATGGAGGTGGCAAAGTTATGAAAGTTTTTAATATACTTAGTTCAAAGTTAGCATTTCTTAATACTGGGTAATACTTGTCAGTGGTATTTATTACACTATAATTTATATGTAATAATTTTTAAGTGAAAATTAACATGGAGAAATGAGGCTTAGGGATATAGCTGAGTTGGTGGAGTGCTTGGCCAGTGTGCACAAGAGCCTGAGTTTGGGCCCTGGGTTCAATTCCCAGAACCACATACAGACTGAGTATGTTGGTACACTCCTATAATCCCAGCATTTGGAAAGGCAGAAGCAGGAGGATCAGAAGTTCAAATGAATTTCAGAGCAACCTGGGCTACATGAGATCCTGTCTCAAACAAAGTGAAGAAACATGGGGTAAGGTTTTTATTATAGACCTGAGTGTCAAGTATGCAGTAATATTTATCACTGTAGGCTGCTTTTTGCAAGTAAGCATCATTGAGTTTAGACTTTGTGTGGTTGCATACAGTCAGCAGGGAAGTATCTGAATGAATGTCAAAATGCTTTTACTTGGAGACTGAGTCAGTTGGACTTATTTTCTTCATAATGATATTAATTTCATTTATTCCTATACACTTATTTTTAATGGAAACCAAATGGTACATAAATGGCCTGTGTTTGTTTTGTGTTGGTCTAGGTTTACCGAATAGAACAGATCTCTTGAAAAATTTGGAGGACGAAATGACCACGTAATTAGACTTTTTTCTTACTATTTCATTATCCTTTTCTGCATTAATCTAGTTATGGTAATATAGTTATACTTTGCATTATAATAAAAATTTGAAGTTTTGAGAATACCATTATTAGTTTTCAAGGAAGATACATTATAAAAGAAAAAGAAAGTGTTTATAACATAAAAGGTCTGAAAGTTAAGCCTCAATTAGACTTATGTATGAATTTTCAAAGACAAAGTACCATATACAGAGAAATTAGAAGAATTTAAAGTAGTCTTAAAATATAGTTGAATTAAGAATCATTATTTTTCAATGGTTTTGTAGTGATTAGCTTGCTTCCTGCCTGTTTTCAGTCATGATATGGTGGTAAGATTACCCAAAAAGAAACTTTTTAACTCCACATCTAATTTTGAACATTACAATAAAATGTCCCAGAAGGAATGTAGTCACTCTGACCTTAAATTACATGCCAAACCTTTTATTTTGTTAATGATTTACACATATTGACATTTACCATGTGGAAGAACTTGTAAAAGATGTCCAAAGGTATGTGTGAGGGAATCAAATGATTACGATTCTATATTATACTATGAATTATCTGATAGTTTTGAAGAAGGTGGAAACATGACTATATTTTGAAAGATGAAAATAAAATACTTACAAATCCTACTATGAACATGCATATTTTTATACTAAGGAAACTATAGTATCTTTGTTGTTTAAAATACATTAGTGATTCTCAAGTTCTACTTGTTACGTGGGATTTCTTATGAGCTTTCTATTGCATTAGAACTTGGATAATAATTAATTATGTAGTTATCTTTTAACCTAAACTTAATAGATTCTGTTCTTTAAAAAAGTATACTTTACACAGTATAATTTGAGGGATGATCTGCTTAACAACATTCCCCATAGGTTGCTCCTGGAATTGTAGACAATAACATAAAAGACTAGCCATTTATCATATGGCCATTTTCAAAGCTAGTTCTTGTTATATGTATTCTTATTCAAAGATAGCAAATAGAGAACATTTTAAAATGGATAAATTGCCACCCTTTAATTCATTTTAGATTATTTTCTTTGAAAGATGTGTGACTCAATAGTAGAGCATTCGCCTAGCATGTGTGAAGCCCAGGATTCCATCCTATGCACTAGAAAAACAATAGCAAAAATAGTGTGTCTTGTTAACCTAAATATTGACTACTTTGTGAAGCCATAGGATTGATTGATTTTTAACTATAGAGACAGAACAAGGAAACATTTCATTCAACTTTTCTAAATTATATGGTTTATAGACTGTGTTTTTATTGTTAAGAGTTTAAAATGGAAGGGAAATTATTTGATTTATTGAACATTTTGGCATAGCTCACAATCACCAGTTGGACAGATAACATGCAAACCCTACTAATTTTCTGTTGTTATCCAGTCTCTGCTCGATTAATAGTTGAAAAGGGCAGAGGACCATTTCTGTCTCTGGTTCCACTTTCTAACAAGTCCATCACTTCTTTCTACACAGAAAACACCTTTAAAGACTTTATTGATTGATAGTGATGTAATAAAAATAGACAGGACTACAGTTTCATATCTTACCTGATGTGCCAGTATACCAAGCAGTCTTTTAAAATCACTGATTTCCTTGAGTATTATGTAATGTGTTCTCTGCACTGGCCCGAGTTTGTTTCACACATATTGTGCTACTATTACAAGTTAGAAAATTAAGGGTTAGGATGCTAAGCCATTTGCCTGACTTTACACAGTAAAATGAAGAGCTAAGATTTTCCCCCAAGCAAAAACAACTGTTAGCCATTCTTCAGTATTGGCACAGACATAGGTGGATGCTGACCATTATAGCTCTGCTTCTTATAACCCCTTCTTCTTTGTTAAGGACAATGTAATACCCAGATAACTGAAAAGGTGAGAGTCAGTTGTGTGTTTGGGCAGATGCACCGATTAGAAATGGCATGCAGTGTTCTTGTTTTTCAGGTACGCCTACTATTACACTGGAATTGGTGCTGGTGTGCTTATTGTCGCCTACGTGCAGGTTTCATTTTGGTGCCTGGCAGCTGGGAGACAAATCCACAAAATTAGACAGAAGTTTTTTCATGCTATAGTGAATCAAGAGATAGGCTGGTATGATGTGCATGATATTGGGGAGCTTAACACCCGGCTCACAGAGTGAGTACCTAGTTTTATGCTGAATTCAGATGTGATCTTGTTCTTAATGATGTAAAATAGATATCACTGGATCTCTTAGAAATGGCAGTGCATCGTTGAGCAGAGAAAATTCCTTGTGAGCAGCAACCATGTCTTATGTCGGTTCCTGTTTACAGCACCCTGGCAGGTACTATGCATTCAGTGGTAACTGACACTGAATAGGAGAGTCAAGAAGTACTTTGGGGAGTCAAGAAGTACTCGGAGACTGAGCCCAGCAATGATATGCAGGAAAACAGCAACATGATCTGTCTCAGCCCCACTGAGTGCTGCCCTGCCAGGCCTCCATGGTGTCCTTAACCATGTGGTTATTTGGAAAACAATGGAAAGAATGAAGGAGCTCTTACATGTCATCCTCTGCATTCATAGAAAAGATACACTGGTTAGGTAGCTGTTGATTACCCCCAAGATAAAAGTGCCACTACTACACCAATGTTATTTGCTGTGCCAGTCATTGATGTGGTTTTTAGGCCTTGAAGCTAGAGTTTGACCATCGATTGATGTTCTCCCTTACCAGCTTGCATAGTGCTCTCCAAAGCTATGAGAACTAATTAAAGCCCACTGAGTGGGAAGAAACTCATGTGTGGTACTGTAAACCTAGCCAAATACACATAGCTGGAGAGGTCATATATATTAGAGAAAACCCCAAGGCTCTCATATCCCTAGACAAATGTAATTTCTTACTATGTGCAAAATATGGATCCTTAAATTTACAGACAAGTATCCCAGTCACTACCCATCAAAGTAACTTCTTTTTCAACAGGCAGGGATTATTACAGAGTTACACAAGTGGTCATACACCAAGTTCTCTGTGAATTGCCCAAGCCTAAGTAGAACATCTAGGATACAACCTCTAAACCTAAGACTCACAGAACATAGAACAAAAGATGAAGAGAACACTAATGCATTTTTTCAATTCTCATCAATAAATCTCCCTCATGCAACAGAGGGCTAGGAATGCAAAAAGTCACAAATGACCAAAATGCAGAGAATAAGAGTCTGCAGAGTGTTGATCCTTGGACAAGACTCTTATATTGAGGTCTACCCACACAGGGCTCAGGGGACCATTTTGGAAAAAGGGGCAGAAAGATTGTAAGAGCCAGGGAGGAGGTGTATGATCATACACAAATGGTCCTACAAGTACCTGGGACCCTTCTTAGATAAACCTACAGCAATGTTGTCAGCATATACAAACCCATGCAAACTTAGACAGACAAAAACTCAGCACAAAACTGAAAATGAACAGCAGGCCCCAATCTTAGTTGAAGAATTACTGACAGCTGATTACTGCTGGGTGAGGAAGAGCCAATTTTCTAGATAGGCTGACTAAGTCCCGGTGAATGAACTTGCACAGAGGGACATCTGGAGACACTAACTTTACATGATAGGCCTTGACACAAATGACAGAATGTATGAACTCCAGTGTTGGGGGGGGGGTATGGGAGAATGCCAAAGGAGAAGGGGGTATAAAGATGATTTTCTATATAAAATACACAAAAATTCTATAAGATTTTTTTTGGGGGGGGGTCTTTTTTGAGACAGGGTCTCCCTGTAGCCCTAGCTGGCCTGAAACTCACTATTTAGACTAGGCTGGCCTTGAACTCACAGAGATCTGCCTGCCTCTGCCTCCCAAATGCTGGGATTAAAGGTGTGTGCTCAATAAAAATTTTCTTAAAAAAGAAAAGATACATTGAACAAATCTGTGTTCAGTACCATTTTTACACAGCAGAAATTTCTAAGTAATTTCTGAAGTGAATATTTTAAAGCACACCATGTCCATATTCTGAGGCTGTCTGAACTACAAAATACTGTTAATGACAAACCTACTAGAAACAGACAGACTGCCAAAACAAAACAAAACAACAAAAAAAAGACCAGGCACTGGACATAAATTAATTTACTCATACTAAACAAAACTAAACTCAGGAGAAAAATTCTGTGTAACACTGCAATGTCTCTTCTTTTAGTGATGTCTCCAAGATTAATGAAGGAATTGGTGACAAGATTGGAATGCTCTTTCAGTCATTAGCAACATTTTTTGGTGGTTTTATAGTTGGATTTACACGTGGTTGGAAACTAACCCTTGTGATTTTGGCCATCAGCCCTGTTCTTGGAGTGTCAGCTGGTATTTGGGCAAAGGTAGGTGAAGCCTGTGATTTCAGATTTTAAAGGCTTTCCCATGCTCCCATGGAAGGGTCTTTTACCACAATAGCCATAATTATGGATTTGACACTTGCTTTTACACTTTCTGTTAAAAATTCAGCAGGATAAACTGATGTAGCCCCATCAAGTACTTCCTGTTGTACTTGGCCATGTAGTTATTTATGAAAGGGATGAGAAAGAAGGAAGGAGCTCTTACATCTTATCCTCTACCTTCAAAGAAAAGATATGCTGAGCTCAAAGATCTGTGTTGAGTAGAGTACAGTGCCATAATCACACAAGTAGAAATTTAAGTTCAGCAAACAACATGTTCCATTCAGTCTTCAATTTTCATGTTTTTGGGGCATTGAGTTTCTTTATTGAGCTTTATCATCAGCCTGAATACTTCTATATTTATGTGAACTCAAATCCATTGCTATAAAATACTTTATGGAAATACTCTCCAGCCCTGGACACACAAATCTATAGCCTCCAGCTATCTCTTCCATCACACAGCTGTTCCTTCTTCACTTCTTGTATTACTTACTTTTCTGTTGCTGTGATCGAAACACCATGACCAAGGGAACTTACAAAAGGAAGAGTTATTTGAGCTTATGGTTCCAAAGGGGCAAAAGCTATCATGGCAGAGAGGCATGGCAGCAGAGGTGGCTGGAACAGGAGCAGAAACTAAGCTCTCACATCTTTCAGCAGGCACAGGAAGCAAGAGAGCCACTGGAGATCCAGCAAGGCTTAAGAATTCTCTAAGCCTGCCCCCAGTGACATGCTTCCTCCAGCATGGCCACACCTTCTAAAACCTCCCAAAACAGCAACACCATCCACTGGGGAAAAAAATGTCTGAATACTTGGAGCCTATGGGGGACATTCAAACCATCACACTTCTGTACAATGATTTTGTAAAATTTACTTTTACTTTATGGGTCAGCATGTAATTAATTTTATGAAATAATTTTATGTAAGTGTAGCTATATGGTGGAAAGATTGGTCCAGTATATCTAATATATATTCATGTAGCCAAAGGTATAAGAAATGGAAAGCCAACCAAAGTGAAGCCTAACACAGAATAAGTCAGACTGAAGTAAGAATTTTCCAGAAAATCTCCCTGTATGATGGATGTTGTTTTGTTATTCAAGACAGTATCTTACTAAGCATCTGTTGTGTCCCCTAAATACATGTATTTCTTTACTTAACAGAGGAAGTAACTGAAGTTCTGAACACTGTTAATTTGTTACTCAGAGGAACATGGTAGAGATGGTGTTCCTGGTGCTTATCAGTTAGCTGAAATTTGGCAGAGCCTTCTTTTTCTTAATTGATTTTTTTCTATTTAGTAGAACATTGAAAAAACTAGGTGCAAACACTTCACAACAGTATTTAATGAAAAGCTGGAGTACATTGATATCTACTGTAAGGAAAACAGATAGCTCAATTTTTTAATATTAGCCATGCATTGCTTTAGACACTATTTTTGATAAAAGGAGCCCTAAGCTACCTGCTGGGACTTATATTTTAATCTACATTCTTTGATAATCTTTTGGTAAGATTTTCAGTGTGTTTCTTAAATTCTGTAATTGTCAGCTATGTTAGAAAAAATACATGCCCATTTTTCCCTGTGAGTTTGAGCTTTTCCTCCGCAATTCAGAGACAACAAAGCAAGTAAGGAACAGGAAGGGTCCCAGGCACAACAAGCAGCCTGGTCTGGGAAGTCTCTTTCTACTCCTATGTCTAAGACTTGTCTTCCCTGCCTAGAGGCACTGGGGTACTAGAGGATTCTGGGAAACTACAGGGCCCTGGGGTGCTAGAGGGCCCTGGGGTACTAGAAGGCCCTGAGAGGGGAGCCACTATAATTTTTTCCATACAATGATATGCCTAGGACACTGACCTTAAGACACTACTTCCATTTACTCAGGAAACTGAAGTCAGGGCCAATGGGACTTTAAGTAGCTCCATGTTAACCAAGTTGACTAAAAAAATACCACAAAGGCTCTGAGCCCCTAGAGCTACAGCATACCAAAGTAGACCAAGAATCGTATGTGGAGTCAAAAAAGGCTCACTGCTTGCTAAGGTATGAGTTCAATAAAATCAGTTTCCTAATGTCACAGACAAAATGTCCAGAATATGATAAAAAGACACCTGTCATACTTAGAACCAAGGAAATCACAATGTACATAAGAAAACAAGCAAGCAAACAAACAAACCACTTAATTGACCCACACCCTGAGGTTGATCAGATATTTGAATTATCCGACTATGATTTTAAAATAACTACCATAAAATGCTTCATTAAATATACATTCTTTTGAGGCAACACAAAAAAGTACCAACCACAAATTGAAAATTATTAAAAAGGAAAAAAATAACATGAGAGAGCTAAGAGATACAACAGCAAAAAGAATCAGTCTATGCAAATGGAACTTAGAGATCAGAGCCAGTGAACCTGGAGATAGATACCTTCACCCAATCTGAAACACAGAAAATGAAGGACTTAAGGCTCTGTGGGACAATAACTGGAGAGTTATATCATGAGTCACCAAAGAACAAGAAACAGAGAGCAGGGCTTTAGAATGAAAGAAAATCACTGGAGATTTGAATGTTTGGTCACCTGCATCTTTCTAGCCTCCCAACTTACTTCTGACACAGTGTATCACTTAACAATTTCTATGCACACATTTCCTTGACGTGATAACTCTTCTTTGTAATTGCTTATGATTATATTGTGGCAGATATTTCTTTTTCTGAAACTGAACATCTCCCAAAAGTTCTAATTGTTGTTTAGATGAGTATTTATGAGATTTTCAGTGGAAAAATTTGCAGTTTGTCTCATTTATTATATATCTTCTCAGTTCAAAAAGAATTTGAAAAAAGGGAACTTGAGGTATTTTGCATAATGAATATATATGCTAATAGAATATCATGACCAAAGACAACTAAAATTTTTTATTCTTCACGTGATTTATATACAACCAGCATTTGTATATTTATAAATTACTTTTTAATGATCTGAAGTTGTGTTTTTAACAGATATTATCCTCATTTACTGATAAAGAACTCCACGCTTATGCGAAAGCTGGAGCAGTTGCTGAAGAAGTCTTAGCAGCTATTAGAACTGTGATTGCATTTGGAGGACAAAAGAAAGAGCTCGAAAGGTTTGAGTTTCTCTTTCAAGCAGATAGAAATGTTAAATTCTGTCATCCTCTGTCATTTGGATGACTGTTCATTATGAAGTTTTTTTTTCCCAATGTAAATTTTTAAAAAATAACTCAATATATGTATGTTACAGCATTAGTAATATTCTGGAGAACTTGCCACTTTATTTGTATTCTTATATCTGCTGCTTCAAGGAATAGTCTTGCATTTTCTAGATGCGTATTGATATAAAAATAATTTCCTAAGGCTGAAATGTGTTTATGTCTCTGATGATTTTTTTTTTTTGTCCTATCAGGCTAATTCTACCTGCTTCAAGTTATTTCTGGAAAAATGTGTTAAAAATTGCCTTTCTTTGGAATAATAAAAATATTCTAAAATTTAAAAATAATTATTTTAAATTCCTGTGTACATGTATATACCTGTTTATCTGTGTAGCACATGTATGCAGTGCCTGCAGAGACCAGACAGAGTGTCAGATCCCCTGGAACTGGAGTTACAAGTGGTTGTGAGCCACCTGGTGTGGGTGCTGGGAATGGAGCCTGGTTCCTCTGCTAGAACAGCAAATATTCTTGACCACTGAGTCATCTCTCCACCCCCTATAGGGACATTTTTATCTGGTTCATTTTTCTTTCTTATTTAGGCTTCTACTTATTTGAAATGTGATCCATGATTTGGAAGCAAAAAATATAACCCAAAGACACTTGTACAAAAGTTCAAATTCTTTGTCCAATGTTATCCTTAGGACTTTTTCCTTTTCATTGGGTTTCTGAGAGCATAGTGATGTATTAAAATTGATAGTATTCCATCAAATCCTTTGATTTCTTAATAGCAAAAACTTTCTTTAAATTTATATACATTATAATATCCTGACATACCATTTTAATGTTATTAGTCTATAAATTAAAAACAGAAAACCCAAACTATCTTGTATTGGGGCATTAAACATTGTATGGTAAGGCTATACAGGAAAGTATGGGGGCGTTTATGAATCAGAATAATTGTTACATTTGGAAAAGAAGGGAAGTTGTTACTGAGATTGGGACATATGGCCAGAGCTTCTCTGGTTCTGGCATTGTTCTCTCTTGACCTCAGCTGTGCTTATATGACTAGTCACTGTTGAATTATTTTTTACACTATACATATGCATTTGGAGAACCGTTGTTTACATGATCTATTTCGTTTCTGCAAAGATAGTATGTGATAGCTAAGTTTCATAGTTCAAAGGAAGACAATACCTATGTTCTTTTTGGCTTGATACAGAATTTTATGTAAAAACTTTAAATAACTTTACAAAAACTAAAATATGTTTAACTAGTGATGCGTTGGTATTCCATCAAATGCATCCTGTCTTATCATGAAGTATAAATTCAAACAAGATGAGAAGAAGGGTACAGACAACTACAAATGAGAAAATTTCCAGTGCACCAGTTTGAGGATGTATTGCTTAGAGACAAAGTGTTCTAAGAGAGTCACAGGTGTACATTTCAGAAGACATTAAATGAAAGATTTTAAAATGCTCAGAAAAAGATCAAAGAAGTAATTTGCTAAGGAGGGCAAATTTCAGTATGATGGTCAAGGAATTCAGGGAGTGCTTCACAGAAGAGATTTTGTTCACGCTGAGGTGTGAAGGATAAGAAAAAGCCTTTAAAAATCAGGGAAAGGGTGTGCTGGGTTGGAAGAAGAGTCTGCCAATTAACTGATGTCGCAAAAGCTTTAGTGTATTTTGGGATATATCACAAGGTTTGTGAGCTTGGAGCTCACTTCAGTGGAGGGAGATTGAGGTAGGGCTGAGATGTGGGGCTGTGGAGAAGATGTAGGATTTTATTCCAAGGCCATAGGCCAGTGGATAAGGGTGTGAAGCCAAGGAATAGCTGTTCACATTATTTTCAGATCTGTTTCTCCTCATGGAAAGGGCCTGGTTAGTAGGTGAGAGCATTCAAAGGGTGGAATCAGGGAGAGAAGTGATGCAGTGATTCAGGTGAGAGGGATTATGATAGCCTGATCTAGAGAGGGGGTGAGACAAGGGTGAGAAGTAACTAGATTTGGGATTTAATCTGGAATTAGAATTGACAAGATTATTCTTTCAATATTTTAATTACACTTATTTATCTTTTTATTGTGTGTTTCTGTGTGAGCACACATGCATCTCATAGTACATAAGAGGAGGTTGCAGGACAGCTTGCAGGAGTGGCTTCTTGTCCTCCACCATGTGGGGCCTGGGAATCTAACACAAATTGTCAGGCTTGACAGCAAGTGAGCTATCCTACTGGCCCCAGATTATTCTTAGACAAAACATAACCCTTCAGTTTTTCTTTCTAGTTCTTTCCTTCTCGGCTTCCATATTGACAAGCAGTAGTCTTTCTCTGACTTTCTCTTCAAAACAGCAGGTGGAAGAGGAATATAGTGAGTGATCTAGGAATAAAAATTTAATAATAGCTACAGATGCATTTAATTAAATAGGATAGTTTTGTTCTCAATTTAAAAGTATTTTCTTGAACCTGATGTGGTGTTGTGTGCCTTTAATCCCAGCACTTGGTAGGCAAAGGCACACAGATCTCTGTGAGATCGAGGCCCAGCCTGGTCTACATAGCGAGTTCCAGGCCAGCTGGAGCTACAGGGAGACCCTGTCTCAAAAAGACAAAAATTTTTTCTTGTTGGGTATGGTAGCATATGCCTATAACCCTAGGACTGGGGCGGCTGAGGTAAGAAGAACTCGAGTTTGAGGACAGCCTGAGACTATGTGCTGAGTTCCTTCCCGAGTACTCCCCACACCCAAAATTTGTATGCATATTTTTCTCACTTGTATGTGTCTTATAGATACCTTTTTCTGTTGATATTGATTTCTATTTCCTTAACCCACATTGTTATTATAAGTAGCTATTTGAACAATTAACAGGTCTTTTCATAATAATTAAAACTTACTAAAGAATGTTTTGTTAATTTAGTCCATTTTAGCACTCCTATTTTAATTATCATTTCTATACTACAGCCTTTTAATGAATGGATGATTTTTACATCTGGCTTCATATCAATGGCATTCTTATTTTAGAAGCTAACTTTCAGAAGACCTATATAAATACAGTATTCTTTATGTTTCCTTCCTCTTCTATCCCTTTATTTTCATTTATCTTTCATGCTATCTAAATGGTTTTCTTCCTTGTTGCTTCTTCCTTGGCAAATGTTTCCTCTGGCTGCATAGAGCATCATATCAGTGAAATGGTTTCAACGTTAGCCTCGGTAAGCAAGAACTGAAATGAAAGATGATAGAGTTTGAGTAATAAATCTTAAAGTTTCTTAATGGTATCATGTAAAATACATGCCAAATGAATTATTAAATTTATCTCAGGTCAACTTCTAACTTGGGGGATATATGTTTATACACATATGTACACACTTTGCTGAAATGTGTTTCTTAAATATAATTTTTTGTTCAAAGATTGTAACTGGAAACTTAGAGATTTACATACTTTATTACTGTAAAATCTCTCTGGATTTAGTCTTGAATAGATGCAATCCTTATGTAAATATCAAATGGCATGTTTTTACAGCGTTGGTGAAATAACTAAAAAAGAAATCACCAAGCTAAAAAGTAACACATACTCTACACAGGACTTGAATTTTTGGTGTACCTAATAATTAATTAAATGAATATTCTAAACAAAATTGATACTATATACCATTCATATAACTATGCCTTTAATGGCCCCCGAATATGAATTCTATGTGCAAGTAAATTCTTTCAGTTTCAAAACCGCGAGATATTTTAATGTAAGACAATAAAGGTTCTTGGTCCTGTAGGAAGCTCCCATAAAGAATATAAAAGTTTGGATGTGGTGGTATACACCCGTAATCCCAATACTTGGGAGGCAGCAGTCAGAAAATCTTGAGTTTCAGGCTAATCTGGGCTTCAGAGTGAAACCTCAAATAAACCAACGGAAAGATACAAACACAGATTAAGACTCAGTTATAACCTATCCTACGTCTCTAACATTTTTACTTTGGATTTGTATTTGCAAAACACTCTCCTTTAAAAAAAAAAAAAAAAACTCTCTCTTTTTGACTCTAGTTTCTGTTAGCTTCTCTGACCTGCTTTCTTCTTGGGTCAGGATAAACTGTTATATTCTTTTCAAATGAAAGTAAAGCTACAGACACTATCTCCTTTAGCCTTAATTGTCCACTTTCTGAGGGCTAAAAGTACTTAAATTACAATTTGTGAATAAATTTTAGGTCACTAGATCTGGAGAAAAAAAAAATCAACCAGGAGAATCCCAACATTATATAGAGGTTTGTTGCTTGCTTTCTTGTTTTTGCTCCCTTTTCTTTGTTTAGCTGTAAGAAGTCTTAAGGGTATTCTCGAAGATGCTTGTGCTATGAACAGGTTACAAACCTTAGTATACTGAAATTTTTATTTTCTCAGTATTTGCTACCGAAAGACTTTGTCTACCAAGCCAGACTCCCTTACCTAATATCAGGCACCCATGGCATGACAAGTGTTAGGGTGTGTAGGCAATATGTAGGAAGTACCAAAGAAGAGAACACTGATCAATAATGATGGACTCCTAGATAGTCTTAAGCAAGTTTTGTAGGCCAGTGATTTTTTTGTGGTAATCTGCAATTTTTATTGAATTTTTGCTATTTTCATACAATATAAGTTGATGGTATTTAGGTCCCCTCCTCTATTCACACCTCCTCTTATTGCCCCCTGCCTAATTTATACTCTATTACATATATCTATATATCTATGTATATGCCTATAGAGTCTAATTTGTGAGGCCAGTGATTTTGAAAACAGACAGCTATAGAAGTGAAATAATTTGTACAACTTATTTAAATGTAAAACTACTGCATAGCATTTCATAGTTTTAAGTGCCCTTACATGTGTTATCTTGCAAAGGGTTTTTCCAATAGTTCGGAAGGAGGCAGAACTGTCTCCAAAGCAAGCTGTCTCCAAAGCTTCCTGAAAATTTAGAGATTTAAATGACTTTTTAAGTCATATTTTTAAGGGTAATAATTGTTTTTCGCTTCTCTTTTGTGTATAAAGCAATGCATTGTCTGGAAGTTAGTGCTTCACTTATTTCATTGTTGCTAAGGCCATAAAAGGAAGTTTCAGAGGCTCTCCCACACAGAAATTATTCTCTATAATCCTCATTATCCTCTTCTACAGGAAGAGACTAGGAATAACATATCATAGGGTCAATACACAGACAAAAAGAGAAAATACATGTATACCACAGGGCTAGGCACATTCTACCTAGTGAATAACCATCACACTCCAATGACTTTACCATAAGGCTTATAAGTATATGTAATGATTTTTGTTCTTTCTGCCAGGTACAATAAAAATTTAGAAGAAGCTAAAAGACTTGGGATAAAGAAAGCCATCACAGCCAACATTTCCATAGGGGCTGCCTTCCTGCTTATGTATGCATCATATGCTCTGGCATTCTGGTACGGGACCTCCTTGGTCATCGCAGAGGAATATTCTATTGGACAAGTGCTCACTGTACGTTATACATGAGTTAGAAAAGAAATGAATCATTATGCAAAGTTGTAATGACATCAAGTGGTGTTGACTTTACAAGACTATATGTTGAATGTATTGACTACTAAAAGCATATTTTATTAGGTTATGAGGTTAAAGAGTAGATGCAGCCAACAATAAATTTTGTTGTCTTTTTTTGTAACTCTTGCACAGTTTCATTACCATTCTCTATAGCATGAACTTTGATTTGATGAGATTATGTCTTTGTAGCAAATTTCATATTAAGCTTTTAACTTTTATTTTCTGATTTCCTATTCACAATACAAATAAGAGGATATACCATTTAATTTATCGTTGAACTCTATTGAATTGTGACTAGTCTACTTCACTAATTTATTTTTAAAGAAAATTCTGTTTAAAAGAAAACTCTAGGCTCAGGGAGATGGCTCAGTGGGTAAAGGTGCTTCCTGCTAAGCATGACAATCTGCGTTCCATCCCCGAAACCCACATGGTAGAAGAAGAGAACCAACTCCTAGAAGTTGTTCCCTGATCTGTATGTATATGATGTCACTAACCTTTTCTAGTGTCTGCTGTTTTCACATCTTCCTCCATGGTCAGGAGGAACAAGTGATGAGACATCTTACTGGAGTCACATTTTAAGTGACATGAAGTCATTTCGTAGTTCAAACTCCCCACTTTCATCATACCCCAGGCCGGGCCCTTGGGGAATGCATGGCCAGTCTAAGGGGCAGGAAACATGCCTCACCATCCTTGCCTCACTGCTGCCGCAATTGCTCTGGAACCTGGGGTCACACTGCCACCATCTTTGCTCTCCACTTATATTCTTTCTCACTTGCCAAGTCCTGAGTTCAGAATTTTGAGATCAATATAAAAGCACCTAAGCTCAGGAAAATAAATATTCCTCCTGTGTGATAAGGCTCCTCACAGGGTCCATCACATACACTCTGCCTCTTAGAAGCAGTGTGCCCTGGGCCCCAAGGCCGGCTACCCAGGGCATGCCTCCTTCCACCCTCTTGAAACCCTCCCCAAGTCCAGTACTCTTTAATAGTTACAACAGCATTTGAAAGAGTAAGTATAGAGTCTCTTCTGAAACTCAGACACTCTTTTAACTGGGACCCCCTGTAATATCAAAAAATAAGGTACATACTTCCAACATACAATGGCACAGAATAAACACTGACATTCCAAAAGGGAGGAATGGGCACACAGCAAGGAAAGATTGCAAGGCTGAAACCCAACAGTGAAAACACCAGTTCTTACATCTCCAAGAAAGACATCTAGACTTCTAATAGAATCACCTTTACTCCAAAGTGTTTGGGTAACCCCAACCCTCTAGCTCTATCCTTTATACAGTCTTTCTCTTGCGCCATCTCTACTCCATGCATCCGGTGGATATCCAACAGTCCTGGCAGCTTCAACATCTTGGAGTCTGTTACAAGCTAGGCTTTACCTTCACAGCTTTACATAATGGTCTCTCAGGAATTCCTTGCTAGGAATCCAACCCTGGGACACACTGCTTGGCCTTGGTGGCCATCTGGAACCCTGGCACAAGCCTCAACAACCCCCATCCCCTAACAATCTATCATGTAAAACCAGTGTCACATGGATGGTGTTATCAAATTCTGCTGCCAACTCAGGCCTGGTGTCCTTGGACTGTAGTCTCATTGGCCTCTCTTTAGACCTTTCAGGCTGATCCTTTCCTAGGAGGTTGTCTTTGAGCAAGGAACCCCTCAATGGCATTTTCTGTGTAGGCTCTCTCCTTTCAAATGAATTTGCATTTTCACAAGATGGAGTCTTCAGTGGTTGGGGTCTTCTAGGTGATACTAGAACCTGTCAAATTGACAATCATTGTTAAACATCACAAAGTTTTTCTGTATTTTAGAGATCTATATAGTTTTTCTGTATTTTAGAGATCTATATAAGTACAGAAGACAATGTTGAAACATTGAAATTATTTGCAACAAAGCTAAATACATATCGTGTTAGAAGATCCATGATTGATTTAGTAACAGTCATATTTCCTTAAAATAGTTCCCTTTCTCTCAATTTGTAACATGAATTTCATCATTACTTCTTTTATTGTTTTTCTTGCTTGATCAGTGCCTTATCCAGCATATGTGAAGCTGTTTAGTTTAGGGATAGATTTTAACAAAATGGGTTTGTCTTTTTGTTGGTTGGTTTTTTTTGTTTTGTTTTGCTTCGTTTTGTTTTTGAGGCGACTGAACTTGGGTAAGCCTAATTTGTAAGGTTTAATTTTGATACAAAAAAGCTGATATTTTACATTTTTTAATTTTAAATTTTGGGGATTTTTTTTTTTTTGGTCTTTTTGAGACAGGGTCTCCCTGTAGCCCCAGCTGGCCTGGAACTCACTATGTCGACCAGGTTGGCCTTGAAGTCACAGAGATCCGCCTGTCTCTGCCTCCCAAGTGCTGGGATCAAAGTTTTTTGCTAAAATTAGTAGAAACACATTCTAGGCAAGGATTCTGCCATGGAGCTATATTCTTAGCCCTAGGAATAAGTAGTTTAAATCTAGTATTCATGAAGCTTTCCGGGTATGGTAGTGCATACCTTTAGTCCCAGCACAGGCAGAGGCAGGTGGATCTCTGTGAGTTCAAGGCTAGCCTGGTCTACATAGTAAATTCCAGGCCAGCTGGAGCCTCAGGAGACCCTTTCTTAAAGTGACCAAAACCAAAATAAAACAACAACAAAAAACCCTGTATCACTATGTAAAAGCATCCAGAACAGTGACTGCAGGATTTGATATCAGAGCCAGTTGGTTTAAATTCCAACTATGCTGCAAACTAGCTATAAGATTCCTTGAGCAGTTATCAAAACACATGAAGTCTTTGTTATCTCAACTGCCAAATGGATATGAAATGGACAGAAATTGTGTACCCTGTTAGTGCTATAAAGACTACTGAGATAATGAATGCAGAATCATTTAGCATAGCTCCTTCTATGCAAATTAGTGAGTAACAAAATTCCTATATGATTTTGAAGGAAATGGATGGTAATGTTAGTCCTTCTCAACCTCCAATAAAAATAAAGTCAAGTCTTAATTCGAGGAAAACAACCCATAATCTTGGATCTTGGGGAGTGTTAAGGAAGGAGGTTTTTTGTTTCTGTTTTTTTTTAAATGTGTATGAGTGGTTTGCCTGCATGTATGTAAGTGCACGGTGTCATGCAGTTTCTATGGAGGCCAAAAGAGGGTGTCAGATCCTCTAGAACTGGAAGTACAGATGGTAGTTAGCCACCATGTGGGTGCTGGGAACTGAACCCAGTTCCTCTGCAAGTGCTCTTAACAACTGAGCCATCTCGAGAGTCCCAAGATTTAATCTTGTAAAGAATCATTGCTTGATTGTGTGCTTTATAACTTAAACATATTTTATATGTTTCATCTGACAGAACTTTGCAAAAGAACAGATAGAGTATAATATATTTTTGCACTTGAAATTGAAAACCAGATATTCTGAAACAATGTCCTAAAGATGCGTAGCTGATTAGTACTAATCTGGAATTTGGACCATGGTCTTCAGATTTGCATATAAGTGTTTGTTTCTATTTTACACCCCTTATCATCCAAATAAAAATATTAGTCATTGAATAAGTAGAAACATATTCTATTATAGTATAATGGCAATATAGGACATATATACATATATAATATATATATCATTATATATATATATACATATATCATTGGTTCACTGAGCCAGTAAGATTGATTCTGCATTATAAACTAAAATTACTTAAAGTTTTTAAGATGGTTTCACATTTTAAATGTTTGTATTATTTTCAGTTGACAATTCATATTAATTTTAAGGAGATGTTTTGATATAATGATTTTAAGGAGATGTTTTGATATATAATATAGAAGGATATTAAATAATATCTATTACTTCACTTAACATTTTTGTGGTGATACATTTGAAATTCACTGTTACAAAATTATAAGATTTTTTTTAACACCTAGCATTCTGATGTTGCCTTGACATTTTAAAATTCAACTAGTTTTATTAGAAGAAAGAAAATATGTAAAGAATTTTGGAAAACATGAAATAACTTGGTGGTTTTCCATCACATTCCTCAGGTCTTCTTTTCTGTGTTAATTGGGGCCTTTACTGTTGGACAAGCATCTCCACAGATTGAAGCCTTTGCAAATGCAAGAGGAGCAGCTTATGAAATCTTTAATATAATTGATAATGTAAGTCTGACCTGACCATTTATCCATTTAATAAAAGACATTCTAGTTGAGGAAGTTTCATTATCGTTTTATCTCACTCATCACAAAATGCCTGTATATGGTTATTGTAACCTAGTGATCTCCTAACATTTTCTTCTGTATAGAAGCCAAGTATTGACAGCTTCTCGACGAGTGGACACAAACCAGACAATATTAAAGGAAATTTGGAATTCAAAAATATTCACTTCAGTTACCCGTCTCGAAAAGATGTTCCGGTATGATGATAAATTATCATCTAGATTATCTATTAGATAATAGTTTCTAGTAACTTCTTTAAGATTGTAAAAAGAGGAAATTATGTGTATAATCAAGGCTGCCATTGAATCGAAGTGGCAGTTCATAGACACTGCAAGCATCAGTGTCTGAATTGCCCTAGTATTGACTTCTCACCTGTCTTGGTAGATCTTGAAGGGCCTCAATCTCAAGGTGCAGAGCGGGCAGACAGTGGCCCTGGTTGGGAGCAGTGGCTGTGGGAAAAGCACCACCGTCCAGCTGCTGCAGAGGCTTTACGACCCCACAGAGGGCGTGGTGAGTAGACATGCAGCCGACAGCAGACCCACTGCCCATCATTCCGACTGTGATTCCAAAGTATGAAAACCACACTGATGTTCTACGGCAGGTCAGTATCGACGGGCAGGACATTCGGACCATAAATGTGAGGTATCTGCGGGAAATCATCGGTGTGGTGAGTCAGGAACCTGTGTTGTTTGCAACCACGATCGCGGAAAACATTCGCTATGGACGAGAAAATGTCACTATGGAGGAGATTGAGAAAGCTGTCAAGGAAGCCAACGCTTATGACTTTATCATGAAACTGCCTCATGTGAGTTGTTCCTGACCTCTGCCTGTCAAAGCTTAGAGCATAGAGCTCTGACCTAATGCAGTCCATGGGAACTTAGGAAACTCCTCAAGGTGGAAGAACTTCCTCAGAAGAGAAATCAAATTACTGTGGATTTAAAGCTCTAGCCCTATCAGCTAGTGGCAGATACATATTTTAAAGAACTGGACTGTGTTGCTTGTGAGGCACAAGTGGTTGATGGGATTACATCCCAATGTGAAATATGAACTGAAGTCACTTACTGCTTCACTAAATCTTCCTTTTTTCTTCTGTTGTAGAAATTTGACACCTTGGTTGGAGAAAGAGGGGCCCAGCTGAGTGGTGGGCAGAAACAGAGAATCGCTATTGCCCGTGCCCTGGTTCGCAACCCCAAGATCCTCTTGCTGGATGAGGCCACGTCAGCCTTGGACACAGAAAGTGAAGCGGTGGTTCAGGCTGCTCTGGATAAGGTCTGTGAGCCCTGCTTCCTAAGATGCAATTTAAAAGTACAACAACATTCCGTCATTTATTATTATTAATCTTGGCCTTATGACCTAGTACTAAAGCCAAGTATCAGGCCACCAAAGTCTTTTGTTCTTCCATTTCTTTTTTTTTTTTTTTTGGTTTTTTATGAGAAAGGGTCTCCCTGTAACCCCAGCTGTCCTGGAACTTGCTATGTAGACCAGGCTGGCCTTGAACTCACTGAGATCCACTTGCCTCTGCCTCCCAAGTGCTGGGATTAAAGGCGGGTGCCACCATACCTGGCTTGCTTCTTCATTTCTGTTTCTTCTGTTTTCTTTTTATTTATTTGCCTGTGTTTGTGTGTTTGCACATGTGAGCAAGTGCCCATAGAGGTCAGAAGAGGGTCTGGATGATTTGGAACAGGCACTAATGTGGGTGCTGGAAACTGAACTCCAGTCTGCAAGAGCAGCAAGTGCTCTTAATTGGTAGGCTTTCTCTCCAGCTCCTCTTCAATTTAATTTTAATTAAACAATGAGAAATAGAGCCTCAAATAAAATTGTTCTTTATTTTGCTCTTGAAAACTTAGAGAGATAACCAACCCTATCTATCTGGTTTTGAGAATTTATAGCATTGTCAACCCAAGTAAAATACAATTGGAAGTACACTTGGAAGTTGCAAGTGACATTTGCAGACCATAGATGTGAATCCTCCTTTCTCCAGCAGAGGGACTCACTGAATTGGTGAAACTGGAAACATCCTGATTCATGAAATTTCTTAGACCGTGACCAGAGTTTCACATTGCTATAATTCCTGCTAGACTTCCTCACCAGTTAGAATCTGTGTCTAGCTCTGTGCAGAACTGTGTACTTGGTCTTTAGCATATAATGTCCAGCTTCATAAGTACTGTGAATGTATAGTACAGACTTGCTAAGAAAAAGTTCTCTAAGGTTGAGCTGTCACCATAGGCATCAAAGATGAGCCTATATTTTCTCTGGCTCTGCTCTTTCTAATTCAGCAGCAGTAGGTGTTCCTTTAACATCCTGTTCATGTGCTTAATAGATTGTTCAGGGAGGGAAAAACAGTGTGCCAAACATTCTGTGAACTGTGAACTAAAATGGAAGCAGATGGAATTGGGACTTTTTTTTTTTCACTATTTTGCTTATCTCTGATTTCACATCCAGGTTTCCTTAATTGTTTGCTCATCTGGGTCTCTTTATTTTTATACCATAAAACTATATATCAAATTACAGATAAAAATAATAAAATTTATTTTTAATGTTCTTATTTTATTATTTTTATTTAATGTGTATTGTTTTATTGCCTGCGTGAGTACAACCACATCATGCGATGCCCACAGAGGTCAGAAGACAGTGTCAGATTCCCCTTGAACTAGAGTTACAGACAGTTGTTAGCTACTATGTTGGTGCTGGCAATTGAACCTGGGTCCTCTGCAAGACCAGCTGGTGCTCTTACTGCTGGGCCATTTCTCCAGCCCCTGATTTATTTATTTATTTTTAATTATTTATTTAATAACCACATACTTAGAAGAATGATTTCATTACAACAGCATTGACATATTCAATAACAATTTCCTGAGCTAAGATGCATCTCTTTCAAAATTGGCTGTAAATTTTTAGGTTTTGGTTCTAGGATCCACATACCAGGGAGAACATATGTCAATTTTCTTTCTGGGTCTCTGTTACTTCACTTAGTATAACGGTTTCTATTTCCATCCATTTACCTGCAAGTTTCATGATTTCATCTTTTTTTACTGCTGAGTAAAATTCCATCATATAAATGAACCACATTTTCATTATCCACTCATCAATTGAGGGACCCTTAGGTTGCTTCCATCTCTTAGCTATTGTGAAAAAAGCAGTAACAAACATGGATGTACAAGTGTCTCTGCAATAGGATGAGTTCAACGAGTGGTATAACTGGGTCAAATGTTAGGTTCATTTGTAGTTTTTTAAGAGTTCTCCACACTGCTTTCCATTGGGGTTGAACAAGTTTGCAGCCCCACCAGGAGTGGATGAGTGTTCCCCTTTCCCCACATCCTCTCCAACATTTGGTATCATTTGTTCTCTTGATCTTAGCCAGTCTGACTGGGGCAAGATGAAATCTTAAAGTGGTTTTAATTTGCATTTCCCTAATTAATAGTGATGTTGAGCTTCTTTTAAGATGTTTCATAGCCATCTTTACTTCTTCTTTTGAGAACTCTGTTCAGCTCCTTAGCCCATCTTTTAATTGGGTTACTTCTTATCTTGATTCTCTGTTTTTTGAGTTCGTTATATCTTATATATTCTGGATATTAAACCTCTGTCAGATGTGTCGCTGGTGAAGATTTTCTCCCATTCTGTGGGTTTTCTGTTTGCTTTCCTGGTTGCCTCCTTTGATATACAAAAGCTTTTTAGTTTAACGAGGTCCCATTTCTTAATTCTTGCTCCTGTTTCCTGAGCAATTGATGTTCGGTTTAGAAAATCCTTTCATACACCTATATCTTGTAGGTTTTCCCCAATGTTTTCTTATAACAGTTTCAGAGTTTCAGGCTTTACATTGAGGTCTTTGATCCATTTGGAATTGAATTTTGTGCAAGGTGAAAGGTAGGGGTTTAGTTTCATTCGACTATAGGTGGAGATCCAGTTTTGCCAGCACCATTTTCTGAACATGCTGTCTTTCCTCCATTGAATGTTTTAGCCTCTTTGTCAAATATCAGGTGGCTGAAATTGCATGTACTCATATTTGGGTCTTCAATTGTTCCATTGATCTATGGGTCTATTTTTGTGCCAGTACCATGTTGACTTTATGACTATATCTCTGTAATAAAGTCTAAAATCTGATATAGTAATCTCCCCAGCATTGCTCTTAGTGCTCAGGGTTGTTATGGCTAGCCGAGGTCTTTTGTGCTTCCATATCAATCTTAGGATTTTTTTTCCCAATTCTGTGAAAAATGTCTTGGGGTTTTGATTGGCATTGAATTGAATCTATAAATGGCTTCTGGTAGGATGGTCATTTTCACAATATTAATTCTTCCAATCCATGAGCATGGGAGGTCCTTCCATCTTCTGATGTCTTCCTCAATCTCTTTCTTCAATGATTTAAAAATTTTCTTTGTAGAGCTCTTTAATGTCTTTGGTCAGGTTTATTCCGAGATATTTTATTTTTTTTTGAACCTATTGTGAAAGGGGAGTGTTTCCATGTGCTCTTTCTCTGATTGCTTGTTATTAGTATATAGAAAGGCTACAGACTTTTGTAGGTTAATTTTGTAACCTGCCACTGTACTGAGTGTGTTAATAATTTCTAGGAGTTTTCTGATAGAATTTTTGCCATCTCTTACATATAATATCATATCATTTGCAAAAAGGGATAATTTGATCTCTTCCAATTATCACTCCTTTAATTTCCTTCTCTTGTCTTATTGCTCTTGCAAGTGTTTCAAGCATTAGGTTAAAGAGAAGTGGGAATAGTGGACAGCCTTGTCTGGTTCCTGATTTCAATGGGAATGCTTCCAGTTTTTCTCCATTTAGAATAATGTTGACTCTGGATTTGTTGTGTATAGCTTTAATTATGTTGGGATATGTTCTCGCCAGTCCAATTCCCTCTAGGAGTTTTTATCATAAATGCATGCTGAATTTTGTCATAGGCCTTTTCTGCATCTATTGAGATGACCACATGATTTATGATGTTTTTTGACATATGTATATAGAACCATCCCTGCACCTCTGGGATAAAGCCGACTTGATCATGGTGGATGACCTTTTTGATACGTGTCTGTATGCAGTTTGCAAGTATTTTGTTGAGAATTTTT